GCCTCCCAAGTAGCTGGGACCACAGGCACCCGCCACAAGGCCTGGCTATTTTTTTGGTAGCAGCCATCATTGTTGTTTGGCGGGCCCGGGCTGGATTCGAACCTGCCACCTTAGGTGTATGTGGTTGGCGCGTTAGCCACTTGAGCCAAGCCACATTTATTCTTAATATGTGCTCTGCCATTACATTTATTAAACTCAGTTAAGGCTTACTTAAATGAGGTGGAAGCTAAAGGGTGTTCCTCTTTTACAAAGGGGGTGGCTAACACATAGAGAATATCTTGTAAAATTTTGCAATAAATATTTTGTAAAGAAAGGTACATTTAGCTACAATTTCCTGTGTTTCCAACATATGGCAACCTTTGGGATACCTCGTATTACTTTTCCCACTTTACTAATTAGGAAACTAAGACTCAGAAGTAACCTCCCCAAGTCTTCAGTGCTGTAAAGGACCCAGTCAGAATTCAAATCCTGGAAATCTGATTCTAGAATCTATTTCATAGCTACTATGTTACATGTGATGAATGAGGAAAACAAAATTTTTAAAAATTACTTGGCTAGGCATGGCTGACACCTGTAATCTTTGCACTCTTGGGGGCTGAGGAGGGTAGACTGCCCTGAGCTCACAGGTTTGAGATCAGCCTGAGGCCAGAACAAGGACCCCGTCTCCAAAAACAGCTGGGTGTTGTGGCAGGCGCCTGTAGTCCCAGTGACTTGGGAGGCTGAGACAAGAGAATCACTGTAGCCCAAGAGTTGAAGGTTGTTGTGAATTATGATGCCACGCACTCTATGGAGGGTGACAAAGTGAGACTCTGTCTCAAAAAAAAAAAAAAATTACTGATCATTTATTAATGTAAATCTACTAATCAAATTTTTAAAAAATCAACCTTCAGGCTCAGCGCCTGTGGCTCAAGTGGCTAAGGTGCCAGTCACATACACCTAAGGTGGCGGGATCGAATCCAGCCTAGGCCCGCCAAAACAACAATGATGGCTGCAACCAAAAATAGCTGGGTGTTGTGGTAGGCACCTGTGGTCCCAGCTACTTGGGAGGCTGAAGCAAGAGACTCGCTTGAGCCCAAGTGTTGGAGGTTGCTGTGAGCTGTGATGTGACAGCATTCTACCCAGGGTGACAGCTTAAGGCTCTGTCTCAAAAAAAAAAAAAAAAAACAAAAAAATCAACCTTCAAGTAAGGCTGTTTCAAATATAAAGATAAAACTAAGGGAGCACTTAAAAAGGTTTGTAAAAGAAACACAAAAATTTGGTTCATGATTAACATTCATCCATTACATTTCTTATTGATAGCCTCCCAACCCCCAAACAGAACTGTCCTGCCCAGGGAAGAATGAGTGCATCAACTTCCTGCCCTGGAAAGAATGAATGCGCTAATCTTTACCCCTCCAGAACTCTTATATCCCCACCTGCCTTAACCCATGTACTAACTTCTTTTTCAGACACAGCCTGTTCACACTAAGTAAAATAAAGGCCACGTTCTCCACAGATAACCTGGACTCTGCTTCCTTTTGTTTTACATCTTGGAATAATCTCTTATTTTTGGTCCTTAACCTCTCATTTTGGTGCCAAGAACCCAAAAAAGGGAGAAACCCCGTGGAGGGGGTAGCGGGTGGACCGAGATACACTCTGTTGAACGCACTCAAAACTAGACAGACTCTTGTTCCAACAAGACAAAGGAAAAGAGGATACCCCTCCAACCCCCACTGAGAATTCATTCATTTAATAGTGAGGTGAGCATTCATCTATAACCCCTTTCTGAGCCCTTTAACTCTACTCCAACTCTACTCTCTTTCTTCCTCCATTTCTAGGCCTTTTGAGGTAAGCATTTGTCTATAACTTTTTAATGAGGCTTTTAAACTCCATTTCAACTCCTCTCTCTCTCTTCCTCCATTTATAGGCCTTTTAAGCATCTGTACATAACCACTCTCTGAGTCTTTTTAACTTCTCTTCCCTTTCCCCATTCTGGGACAAAAAACTCCAGTAGTCTGTGTCTACTAAAACTAGCACTGGTCATGGACTAATCCTGGTGAGTCAGACTCACCCATCCAGTACTTCATGTGTGGGTATGCCCTCCCTGGACCACTCTTTTCTGGCAGGTTAAAGGTCCTTTTTCATTCTTGCTTTAACCTCATTTATTTTCTACCTCTAGTTCCAGATATGGGGACTGCTTAGTGATGGATCCCCCCTTCTTCACCTTTCAGCTGTCTCTTAACTCACCTCCAGCCTCTACACCTCCATCCTGACCTTAAACCTAAACACCCCATCTTTTTCTGTAATACTGCTTAGCCTAAGTACAAACTAGGGAATGACTCACAATGGCCTGAAAATGGCACCTTTGACCCTTTCAATCCTCACTGACCTTGACAATTACTGTTGAAGATAGGGCAATGGTCAGAAATCCCTTACATCCAGGCCTTCTTCCTCCTCCGAAACATTCCTTCTTTGTGTTCGTCTTGTGAACCCTCTCAAATTTTCTTTGCAGAGGCCAAACCAGCACTCCCTGAATCTCCTGATTCTCCATTGTCTTCTTTCCACCCAGAAGACAACCCTTCCCCTTCTGCCCCTCCACAACCTCCCACCCTTAACCTCCTCCCTACCTCCTCCCTCCCTCTCTCCATTGCCCCTCACTCATCTTCTGCTGCACGTGGACAAAAAAGAAAAGATGGCAGACACAGGTGGGAAGGGAAAGATGCTGGACCCAATTTCCCCACTTCATACTAGATCTGGTCACACCTTTGGACCTTCCACTTCTGGACTACCACAACCTTTATACCCTCTCAAAGAGGTTGCAAGAATGGAAGGTATCATCAGGGTTCATGTCCCCTTTTCTCTCAGATCTGTCCCACATAAGTCAGAAGCTAGGGTCGTTCTCCAGAGATCCCACAAAATATTCTTGAGAATTTAGATATCTAACCCTATCATATGATCTGACCTGGCATGTATATGTCATCCTCACCTTCACCCTAACTTCAGAGGAGAGAGGAGCAGGTCTGGACTCAAACCCAGGTTCATGCCAAAGATCAATGGAAGACAGACCAAAACCTGCCAGAGGGCATTAGGGCTGTTGCCCGGGAAGAGCCCAATTGGAATTCCTGGGGATGTTCCTGGGGTCGATCTCCATAACTATATGGTCCAGTATCAGTCTTTTTTTTTTTTTAGACAGAGTCTTACTATGTTGCCCTCGGTAGAGCGCTGTGGAATCACAGCTCACAGCAACCTCAAACTCTTGGGCTTAAGCTATTCTCTTGCCTTAGCCTCCCGAGTAGCTGGGACTACATGTGCCCGCTGCAATGGCCACCTATTTTTTGGTCGCAACTGTCACTGTTGCGGGGCCAGGCTCAAACCCACCAGCTTCGGTGTATGTGGCTGGCGCCCTACTCACTGAGCTATGGGCACTGAGCCAGTCCAGTGTCTCTTAAGAGGGAATAAAAAAAGCAGCCCATAAGGCTATGAATTATGACAAACTAAAAGAAAGAATCCCAAACTGGATGAAAACCCTGCCCAATTTTTAGCCCATCTTAACAAAGTTCTCCACTGCTATACCACCCTACTGCTAGAGAAGAAGGAGGGCAGAATCATTATCAACATGTATTTTATCTCTCAGCCTGCACCTGATATACCGAAAAAAACTCCAAAAATCCCCCCAGGGCCCTCAGACCCCCCAACAAGATCTCATTGACCTGGCTTTCAAGGTCTTCAATAACTAAACAGTCTGAAAAAAGGAAACCTCCACCAGAATGTGTTTCAAATGCAGTAAACCTGGGCACTAGGCCAAATAGGGCACAAATCCAAACCCTCCCCAAGTACTGCCCAGCCTACGGAGGTCCTCACTGAAAGTATGACTGCCTGGTCCTTCTGAGGATCTGGTTTGCAGCCACTCCCAGGACCTGGCTGAATTCCTCAACCTCTTGGGCTTGGCTGCTGAAGAGTAACAATTCCCAAAGAGTCAGGAGGCCCCTTGGACAATCACAAGAACTGAGCTCTGGGTATCTTTGCTAGTGGAAGGTAAGACAATCACTTTTCTGATAGATACGGGCCACCTATTCCATGTTGCCATATTACAAATGTCCTGTACAACAAACAAGAGATCTCAACGGTGGGTATTGATGGTAATCTACTGCACCCTCGCACTACTACTCCACCTTTGTGGTGATCACTTTCTGGACACTCTTTTTCACATTCGTTCCTTATTATTCCTTCATACAGCATTCCCCTACTAAGTAGAGATATCCTCTCAAGATTACAAGCAATCCTGACAATTCCTGTCAGCTCCCACCTCTCACTACCCATCCTGCTCTCTCTAACCCCTCCCCTACAATTCCATTCTCTCAATCCACCTCCCTGTAGACCCCATCATTTAGGATACCTCTCTTCCTTCTAGTAGCCTTCCATCATTCACCCATTCTCATTGCCCTCAGATCCCAACATTCATATCCTTCCCATAAACAATACCCAACCCCCATGTTGGCCCTCCAGGGCATTAAACCACTCATCCTCAAACTCCTGTCAGCTGGTATTCTCAAACCTACTACCTCACCCTACAACACTCCCATCCTTCCTGTAAAAAAACCCAATGGTTCATATTAGTTAGTGTACAACTTACAGGCTATCAATGAAACTATTCAGCCTATTCACCCAATACCCTCCTGTCTACTATTCCTTTTAATACCTCCCCCCACACAGTTTTATATCTCTAGGATGCCTTTTTTACCATCCCCATCCATGAGCTCTCCCAACCCCTCTTTGCCTTCAGTTGGACAAACCCTGATTCCTCTACCAGCCAACAACTCACCTGGATGGTTTTCCCACAAGGATTTAGAGACAGTCCTCATTACTTGGTCAGGCATGTCAGGCCAATTGCCAGTAGTTAGTTAACGTTTACCGAAAAATTCCACAGTTCTTCAGTACGTAGATGACTCCCTCTTATACAGCCTCTCCCCCACTACCTCCCAGCAAAACATTCACTTACTCTTTCCTTGCCACCAAGGGGTATAGAGCCTCCCCTTCCAAAGCACAGTTAACTTCTCCCTCTGTCAGTTACCTCGGCATCCTCCCACAGGAACATCCTCCCTGGACCGCATTCGGGCCATCTCCTCCCTACCCCTACCCCAAATAAAAAGTGACCTCCTCTTCTTCCTGGGGGTTCTAGGATATTTTAGAGCCTGGATTCCCAATTTTATGGCCTTGGTTAAGCCTCTATACACCGCTGCTAAAGGTTCCCCAACTGAACACATAGACCCACACCAGTTTTGGTCAAGTTCCTTCCTCTCCCTACAATCTTCTCTGTCCCAAGCACTACCTCCATCTTTCTGATCCCTGCTATCCATTTTACCTCTCAGTGTCAGAACACCCAGGACGTGCAGTAGGGGTCCTAACACAGAAACCTCACAACAATCACCTCCCAATAGCATTCTTCTCAAAGCAGATGGAATTCACAGCCCTAGGTTTGCCCCCTTGCCTCCAAGCAGTGGCAGCCACATCTCTCCTTTTTCTGAAGTCCCAGAAACTTACCTGCCAGGCCCCTACATATTTACTTACCCCTCGTAACATTCCATCCCTTCTAAAACACCAACACTTATCTTTAATTTCTGGATCCTGTTTACTCCAGCTCTTAATCTTCTTTATAGAAAACTGAGAACTCCACTTTCTCCCTCTTAAAGTCCCAGCATTTAACCCCTCAGATCCACTAATTGTCCTCTACTCATATGACCGTCACACTTCCCAGAACTCACTCCATGATGGCTGGCCTTTAATTATGGTAACATTATATCCTTTTCCCAACATCTCCCTCTTTATCTTACCTAACCCCGAGGATACCTGGTTTATACACAGCAGTTTTCCAAACTCGCTGTTTACTCCATTGCCAAAGCAGGCTTTGGTATTGTCTTCTTCCACTACTGCTTCCATTAGCCTGCCCCCCTCCCCCTCAACCTCCTTACAACAGGCAGAACTCTTAGCCCTCACTAAAGCCTTAAAACTTGCACGAGGCCACTCCATTAACATATATACAGATTCTAAATATACTTTCCACATAATCCATCACCATATAGCCACATGGGGAAAAAGAGGATTCATTACCACCCTAGGCTCCTCTATTATCAACATCACACTCATTAATAACCTCCTAACCTATTTCAAACTCACCAGTACTGGAGACTCTGTAGGTTTTATAAAGCCTTACCTCTGTCCCCTCAACTGAACTTTTCCCTTATCTATTTTCTCCTGTGCCCCTCTGGGAATATTATTCCCCTATGGCTGCTCCATCTATTGGTGCCTGCATGCTAATCCAAGTTTTCCTCATCCCCTGAGTCTCTTTTGTGAATGACTCCTCCCTAACTCAGGCACTGATGCATCCCCCTACTCCCAAACAAAAAGGACACATCTTCTTCCCTGTACTCCTCAGAACAGGCATAGTGGCTAGACTAGGCATGGGCACTGCAGGCATAGTACATCAACCCACTTTTACCACCAACTCTCCCTAGAACTTAAGAAAGACATGGAAAGAGTAGCAGACTCCTTTAGTCACCCTACAATCTCAAATTAATTCTTTAATTCAGTAGTCTTTCAAGGTAGCTGAACCTTGGATTTAATTACAGCAGAAGGAGGCGGCACATATGTTTTTTGGGGAGAAGAATCAAATTCCAAAACAGTGATGGATAATGCTGTTTCTTTGTAAACCAGTCAGCAATAATCACTCCCATTAAAGAGTGCAAAAAATATTAAATCCCTTTCTAATGAGAAAGTATTTTAAGTCAATACTTTGCCTATATCCAAGGATTTTAAAAAGTGCATAATTAATTTTAAACATTTACCTAGTTCTTATGGTGTCTTATTCATCCACAAATTACAACTACTTAATACTTAATTGATTTAATATGATACAACAAAAATTACTACTAAAAACCATATTATCAGTGTAAAAAATCTAAGGAAAATCTGGACAAGGTCAATATAAATTTGTATTACCATTATAAAAAAGTTAAGCTGAAACCCAGGAGAAATGGGGAATGGGTAACAACCTTGTATATTTAACAAGATATTTAAGAATAAAGATATGAAAAAAAGAAGATATGACTTAACACTAAAAGACATAAATAAAGGTACTTTGCTCTATTATTGTATTTAGATCTCCTTTAGTAGACCACGTTCAAAAACCTAGGAGTTTGAGGTTGTTGTGAACTATGATGACACTCTAGCCTAGTTTTTTTTCCCTGAAGTCTATTGCATTTACAACATGGGATCTTTCTGAATCTACATTATCCTAAAACTAACAGATTTTTCTTTTTTTTTTTTTTTTTTTTT